GGATGCACCCACTACATCAAAAATTAAAGATTTTTGCCAACAATGCATTGTATTCAGTCTCCTTTGCTTAAAAACAAATGCAATACAATTTTTGTTATTGAAGTAACACATGGAACAACAAAAATGGTTGTAAATGGCTCACTAGACAATCATATTGCACATACACTCTGATCCAACGGATTGGATTGACTGCATATTCATTCATCATTATTTTTAGGAAAGTTACAGTTGAATTGTTTCAATGGGCATCTGCCAGAATTCATATATTTCAGTATAGTTACGCTATATAATCTGTTTATTCACCTAACTGTAACAAATCACTAGTAATGGCTAATTGACTTCTCTAGCTAGCATCCATTACAATGCATGCATATATTCCAGCTCATTCTATAATAGAAGCGATTTATTGTAGAATATACCAGGTCAACGAAGTAAGCTCTTTGTCACAACAGGATGCAAATCATGAACCCCAATCTGACAAGCTTAATCTGTATGTGACAAGCAAAACTGAAGCTTAATGTTTATCTTGTCTTAAAACCTAATAACATAAAATGTACAACTCTATCAAATTAAAATTTCATAACAATTTACTAGAGAAATTTAGATGGTATATACAATTTCATGATATGAAATATGCAAAAGTTTCAATGTACACAGCAAACTGCTTAAGTATCTAAAGTAAAAGACAGTCTAAATTTTCTAGTAGCTGTTATACACAGGCTTATATTGATAACATAATATTTTTTCTTCAATAAAAACATATTGTGATATACACATGTTGGCTTATAAGTATGTCTTATCTAATTACTTTCAGTCAGCTGATGCCACAATGAAATGAAAAAATAATAACATGAAAGATGAAATTAGTGACACTCATATGGAAGGTGAATATTAAGTGCAACAGAGGATATGAAATTACAAGATTAGTTAAAATGGAAAAAATATAACAACTTAAAAAAAAAGTCTTTCTTTAATGAATTGAAAGAAATAAACAAAATATTCTCCTTAAATACAACCCTAAAGTTCTCACACATTTCACCATTCAAGAACATGACGGATTCAAACATAGCACTGGTAGTACAAGGTTTAGAAAAAATATTATTTTTAAAAATATCTCAAGAGTTCATCAGGTTCGGGATGGCAGATAACTAGAGAATCTTTTTATCGTAAGTACTTCAAAAGTAGAAACCATACATATTACAAACATACAACAGCTTTATCAGATGTTGCCATATCTTATGCTAAAGGTACTCAGTAACTTAAGTATAGTTTGTGTTATTAATATAATGTGTGCAAATATGTGGAACTAAGAAACTTTCACTAGTCATCAAACAAAAATCAGCAAGTCCCTTGTTTTTTAAAAGAGTTAAAACCTACAGTAAGCTACAAATCAAGTTTAAGGCCTAGAATAGTTTCTTCACTGAGGGTAAGTTAGATCTTGTTTATTGCAAACAATTTTGCTGCACACATGAGCATTAAGTAGTTGCAACCTAATGTACCTACATGTTCTAAACACATCTGGTCATTTGAATCAAAACCATGGAACAGATTCATTTTATAAGTTGAAAGTTTACAACCAACATTTAAAATGTAAATATCTTATTATAAACTAGTTAAAACTGTGTCAACACACATAAAGGTACAAACTTTCAATATGAAAGTTTTGTGTTCTGAAAAGATCATTACAAAATAAAATCAATGAATGTAACACTGCTGAAATCTAAACAAATGAATTAAAGAAGCTGAATGCTTATGAGCTCTACTGTACAATTTTAACATATCAATGTGCTTGATGTCAGAGATTTCATAAGAGGTGATGATAGGATATAATATTACTACAACTAAAGTAATACCAATAAATTATAAGTATAGTAATAATAACATGGTGTCTAAAATTATGGGGTGCATACATTTGAAATTCATTTCTTAAAGTTTCTGAAACCTTCCAGACTCTTAAGAAGTACTTTGTCAAAAATTTAGCAAAATGCTTGTCATCTTGATGCTTTGGTTTTGAGATAGAAGATTCATAAAAGGGTAGAATATTCTGGCAAAACATAAGTTTGACTGACACCAATAATATGCATATCAAACCAATAACAAGAGCAAGCAAAAGCAAAAAAGTATGCCTTCCAAAAATACCTTACTTCATAGAAAGTTAAAAGTTTGAAACACTTTAGTACTAAAGCCTAAAAAAAAAACCATCTAAATATGGAGGATGACAAGAAGTAGGTAGCATTGCTTCTTGAAAAGTCTTAAGCATTTCCATGACAGCAGTTAAGAGCAGAGAGGAGAATGAGTACCATGGAAAGAATGAATGGTCTAAAGCAACCTGTAGAGCAGAGACAGATAAACCACTGTTAACAAACAGGAAGGAAAATTTTGAGTAAATGAGAGTTAAAGACAACAAAATATTTACTTCAAATTGTTAATTACACTTAAGAAAAAATTTTAAGGATGACTATCTGAATAAAATGAATATTCATCTAGTAGATCAGGAGGAAATTCTGCAATAAAAAGATGCTATAAAGAGAACCTGAAAACAAATACTGTAAAATTCTAGTAACACCTTCACTAGAACCTGAAACAGGAGATAAGCATACAAAAATCCTCTTGGCCAACCTTGGGCCAAGGGGTCTATAGCCAAGGATGCTGTATCCGAACTGGATATCAGAAAGTGGCATTAAGGGACCTTAAGGTATTACCATCCTAACATGTGAAAGCTGATCTGGTAAGAAATTTATTTCTTCTTGAAAATGACAAGCATGTAAAGTGACAATCAATTCTACCTCCATCCACAAAACTGATGAACATGTCCTCTCCAATTGCTGATAAAGATAATAAATGTAGTGCTGTTTGAATGATGCTGGAAAATTAAGTTCTGTAAAATATTCATGAAGCTTAAAAAAGGTTTTAAACTGCACACAAAGAGTCAGAATGTATATATATATGATTTCCCCTGCTCTGCTGAGGACTGATCACTAGGACAGCCTCTATATCTGTGCAAAAAATAAAATATGAGCTCTGAAGATTTAAAGAAATGGCAGAAGCAGCATTCTAATACAAACATGAGCTTGCAGCATCTGAGTCTTTGTTAACTCGAACACTAGATTAAAGAGATGACTACAGAAAATCTTCCATTATAAAGCTAAGTCCCATTGACTAAGGGGTCACACACAGATGTAACAAAGCTGATACCACCTTCAACATGTCAAAAAGGCAGTTCTTCAACAGGTTGTCCAAAAATAAAATGTAGGTGCAGCAGTAGACAAATGTGTAAGACCAGAAACTTTACCAAGTTGGGGGTTCAAAGTGATGCAAGGATCAAAACAGATCTCAAATAAAGAAGAGATGGTGGGAAGCACTGGCCCTGGTTTCCACCAAGTCAAAAGCATCAGCAGAAAAATATATGAATAAAGGTGTCAGGTATAACACCCAAAAAAAGGTTACATCTGAGACAATGTTTTTGGATGGAAACAATCCTCACAAGACCTTAGTGGTTAGCCATGGTGATGGAAGAAAACTACGGGCATGGATAAGAAAACATATGAGTTATGTTAAAAAATATAAAGTACTGAATTTGAGCAATGTTTAATGCCTTAAGTTACCTTAGTTTTCATCATGTAAGCAGAGTCTAGTGTTGCTTGAAAACTGATTATTAAAATCAGAAACTCTATGATTTCATATTTTCAAAGTTCATTGGTACATCATAATCATTTGCATAATATCACATGAACACTAACAGTAAAAACAGTGGCTACAATATTAGTAATGAGAAACTGAGTGTGAAAAATGAAGTGTAGTACACAACAGATGATTTCACATACGATAACATGTTATACCATTCTATTTTTCATTTTTCTATTGCCCTTGACACAAAGGATAAATAGCCACAATGACTTGTGAAGCCATTTTGTCTATTACATATAACAGATGAGGTGGTTTCTCACAACCTTTTCGTTTCTTATTTTTAATTTAACAATATTTGACAACAGAAAATTATATTTTTTTAAGTTGTTTTTCCAAAAACACTAAAAATAACATTTAAAAAGCTGTTGTGCAAATCAGTTTCAAACATTAAGTGAAAAAGTGATGTCATTTTACAAAAGACACTAAAGGTAATATAATATTAAACAACTTATTGATCAAATCATTGCTTCCAACATGAAGTGAAACAGAAATATATTTTTTTTACAAAAGACACTAAAGGTAATATAATTTTAAAAAGTTATTGTGCAAATCAACACTTCCAACATGAAGTGAAACAGTAATATACTTTTATAAAAGACAATAAAGGTAATATAATTTTAAAAATTTATTGTGGAAATCAACACTTCCAACATGAATGCGGTGTTTCCATATAGTAAAAAAATGGCAACAAAATCAATGCTTCAAACATTATGTGAAACAGTAATGTTGTTAAAGAACAATGGACTTTTTGATAATGAAATGTTTCCATATGATAAAAATGTTGACAGCAGGACAAACCCTAAATTTCTCATTAAAGAGTTTTATTTACTTTAGCTGACAGGTTTTGTTTCTAGTTTAATATTATGTAAATTATTGTATGTTAATATTTCATATTTACAACAAATAATATGGTATCTTGGAAAAATCTGTGTTTTTGTCATGAAGTGTTGTTTAAACTGCATAAATTCTCAACTTGATGATATATTTTTAAAATTGTAATCAATCTCATAAATAATTAAGTTTATTTCAAGTAAAGCTGTGTTGTTATTCTGTAAAACCAAAAATACAGTCTTCTCTAATGCACTGTTTGTTAGTCCTAACAAAAATATAATTAAAAATGTATCAACAAATGTTCAGTGCTTTTCCTGGAAAGTAACAACTGGTAGCTCTTGAGTTTAAAAGTTCAGTATCCTCTGTATCTTTTTTTAATTCCACTGAATCTTTAAAAAAATTCTTTCAGAATTAATTTTATCCATGTCTTCCCACATTGAGCTTTCTTTTCAATATTTTAATTGATATCATTTGTTTAATAGGATTGCACACGGTCTTGAATCGATGTGTGAAGCTACACAGTTGGAGTGTTATAGTGGGATGAGCCAAGCATCTCTGGAACGAGCTGACAATAGTCATGTAACCCAATTTGAGGTGAGTAATATGTTTACTTTTAGGTAACATTTAGTTCTTTATTTTTTGTTGTTTTGGTCTTATTTTTGTTTTTTAAAACTTGTAATAGAGATTTAAAAGTAAGTTGATTCTTTCTCATTTTTCTTCTTTTTTTTGTGGAAATGCTCATGTAAAAATTCTTAATTAGCAGGATAGTGAACTTGGTGATGCAAAACCACCTTGGCTTCCATCTCCTCCAGGCGACATGCCGCCAAAACAAGAGCGAAAACGGCGGAAACTACCTGAAATACCCAAAGATAAAAGAAGTATGCTATAGTAATATTTTATGTTGTGAAAGTCCATAGCTATTGTCAGCTTATGGTAATAAATAATTTATCTACTGTTTTTTATTTAACAGTATTTGAAGGAAGCACAAAGGGTAGAAATTTATGGTTCAAAAAGTATCAGATTACTAACTAAGCACAATGATATATGTTCTATTAGATCAGCTCACCAAGAAAACCTGACTTAATATACATATTACAGTTTTTTTTTTATTTAAGTGGTCAAATGTACATGTGGAACTCCATGCTATTTTATCTAATTGTCTGAAGTATAAGTTAAAGGTGTTCTCAAAGTTTCATAGGTAATGAAAAAGTTAAATATCTCATCTGTTGATATAAACACCATATTTAATTACTGATTTAAATGGAAAAGTTCCACTGCAGCATTTAGTGTAGCTACTAGCCATAATCCAGGTTTCGAACATAAGAAAAACTGTAATGGGGATGAAGCTGAGGTCATCATCTTTTAATATTTTAGTCTGAGAGACCGCTTAAAGAACTTGTTTAAAGTTCTTTAAAGAGTTGTAGATTTGTTTTGTAAATCACAAACTTAGATTGATTTATTTTGTTAGAATTACTTTACTTGCAAGATGACATGAAGTTAACTGGTTGATAAGTCCATTATTGTAAAAATATGCTTCATCACACAAACTTTAATTCAAAAACTTTCCTACATTCTTTATATTCCATCTATATAATTTAGGAGTGAAAGTATTTGATGCCTTAAAGTAGGATTAACTTCTACTTTTATAACCAGATCTGGGAGGAAGGAAAAAGTTATCAGCAATACCAACATCTCTGGCTGAAGAATTGCAAGCTGCACAAAAACATGAGGCTGAAACAGTTGATGGCCATGAAGTAGCTATTGGCCAGGATAACTCCCTGCAAAAAAGACGTCTGATTCATCGTGTTTCTGATAGTATGTTTTTAGAGATTGACAGAACTGATGGTCTGGTCAAACCTTTGTTGAGGTGTGTGTTATAGCAAAATGATTAAAATGTAATATTTTCAGTGGGTTCTTTTATACTTTAGCTTTAAAGAAAATCATCTTTAATTAAAGAGTCCCTTTATTTTTTTGATGCCTTTAATCCTATCGCAACAGGCTCATTTATTTTGCAAGGCCTTGTAACCACCATGTAAACCACGAAGGTATAAAAACTATAATTCTGAAAGTACATAATGTAGCTTCACAAAATTGAGCAAGCTTTGAATAAAAAAATTATTTTGTAGATAAAAAATCAGAATTTTTAGGTATTTTTACTAAAAATTTGTCTGTAAATATATTTTCGTTTTAAGATTAAGAATACTTTGCTTCATCTGAAAATTTTAAACTTTCATTTGTATAATCTCTAAAACCTCCTAAATAAATATCAAGCTTTTTTTTTTCTTTCTGAAAACATCATAATATGATATGTCATTTGATAGGTTAAAATTTTGGCTTTCTATAGGTTATAAATACTATAGTGTAAAATGTCAGAGAGAACTGTTGGCAGTTTGTGAAAGAGAGGATGTGACAGGCAAGTGGGTCTGATTTTCTAGTTTATGGCTCCATAAGAAAAAAAGGATTGAAGGATATGAAAACTATGCTTTACCTGGGTAGTAATTCATTTACTTTAAATTATATACTTTTCAGAAGGGTGGTACGTAGACTAGAGAAGAGGGAAGAAAGCAAATGTCACACTTTTTGTACCAGGGGAGAATGAGGATTTAAAAAAATATTTTCTGATAACATTAAGAACTTAAATATTATTAAATATTAACACTTGATCTATTATCTACATTCAAATGCCAAATTTATTCTTATACATTGATAATAAAGTAGTTTTAATAAATGTTGAATGTAATTCTGTAAAAGTTTGTGAAATGTGCTCTTTGACCTGCCTGATACAAAAGGGTTAATTTATTTTTTTTAACTTTATTTCATTGTATTATTTGTAGAGGTACAGAATAGCAAAACATAGTAATTACATAATTGTTTCAGTAGTAACTCAATGTTATTTCTTCAGTTGTCACACAAAAGAGAAGGTTTTAACAGAGAATGATTCCAGCCCTGAATTTGATGGACATGGACGTTTTTCTAATGAAATTGACAGTGGAACTTCTACTGCACACACTCCATCTGTTTCACCGGTTGTGAATGGTAGGTAAGACTTATTAAACTTGCATTCTTCCTTCTCAGTCTTAAGCTATTGTTTTGTTTTATGATGACTTGTTTGTGTTCTATATTTAACATAGGTATCTAACTTGCTGGTCAAGAGATGCTTGCAGATCATATTTGGATTTTGTGTGGCTTACTATCTGTGAAAACCATAATAAAAGTAATAAAGGTTTGTTTTATAGCCAATGAAAAATAAGGATCTGTTTGCAGTAAAATTTCCTTGAGTGAAGTGAATTATACATTGCTCACATTTATTACATGTCTTCTACATGAATCATGCTATTTATGTTGCTGCTCAGTTTTATAACCAACAAATATGGATAACTGCCTTGTTTGTAGGATCTGTATCTCGTTCATCTTCAAGTACGCTAAGTTCCACTCCATCAGGAGGTCATCTACAGTTACAAGATGCCACTCACCGTGGTTTGCAAAAGTTTATTCCACGACACGAAGATGAAATTGAAGTTGAAATAGGTGATCCTGTGTACATACAAAGAGAAGCAGATGACTTATGGTGTGAAGGTGTGTTTTTAAACTCATAATGCAATATTTTGATGTTGTTTTGATTTTAATAGTATTGCAAATAGCGTGTTTATTAATATAAAGTAGGTGAAGAACAAAACTAAATATATAGAGAAGATAAGTGTCACAGTATTGAATGTGATAAACGTTTTTTTAACTTAGATATATTTATGGATAATGTTGCAATAAAAAAATGTCAGTACCTATTATTCACACAACAAATTCAGGTTTCTCACTGATAAAGATATTGATCTTTTTATACTGAGCATGCTGATGTGATTATACCATCTAAAATATTGTATTTCTGCTTTGGTTAGCTGTTGTAAATGTTAAATTATTTAATGAGGCTATCAATAATGCTTCTTGCTTGATGAAAGAGTTAGTACAAAGGATCACATAAGGATCTTCTGGAGAACAAAAATGAAGAATAGTCAACTATTCGAAAGTGCTCGAGTTTTGGGTCTTATTTTAAGTTTAATAATGCTTCTTGAGTATTTTAGTAATCATAGAGAACCACATAAATATTTTTAAGACTTCACACAACTGAAAACATCTCAGATATGTTAAACAGTGTGTTACTATGATTGAGAAATTTATTTCTCATGTTGTTAAGCAGTTATAGCAATTTGTAAATAGTATGGCACTACCTGAATGTCAACATGCTGCGATATTTTAGATCTTCTGTTTTAAAGAAAGAGTATTGTAAATCTTCAAGGAACATCGTAGTATGTTTATTGTCAAATTTCTAATTAATTTCATTTCATTTTAAGGAGTTAACTTAAGGACTGGAGCCTGTGGGATTTTTCCCAGTGCCTACGTAATTGACATAGACTACTCTGATTTTGATCCAGGTAGGCTTATATTGTTTCTGATATAATTAATTGACTACAGTTAAAGATTAGTCAAGACTAAATATGTTAAACAGTGATGTTAACTTTCTTACTGTTGACATAAAGAACTGAATCCAATTATGGAAATTTTGCAATTTAGTTATAATATTTTTGGCCAGAAGTGAAACTGAAATTTAAAAAAGAATTTAATGTCTTGTGTTTGGTACATTAGATGGTGTTAAGACAAGAAAAGAACGTTATCTGGTGGACTTTCTGGGCTCCTGTGAAGTCTCATATCATAAAGGAAATAAAGTTCTTTGTAGTGCAGTGAAAAAGGTAAATTTAATGATGTAGTAATATGTTTTACGGTGCAACTGGTCTCTACATTACGTACGGCTTCTTTTCAAGAATGTATATTAGATAGAAGGTAGTGTATTGTGTGAAGCTAGCAGTAAAAAATACTTTAATGTTTTAAAAAAAATTAATAAATCATTAAAAATTATCAAAATTAGATTCACTAAGATCTTAAGTTTATATTAATGACTTAACCAAAAAAAAAGTCAGATTTTGACTCTTTAGAATCCTTTATGGCTCATAAGAAAACTTATTGGTAAAATATTGATATTATATTTTAGCAGATTCCTTTTTAGCTTTTTGCTTTTTATTATTACATGCTGGAGTTCACAAAAATATCATGTAGTATTAATTAAGCACTAGAAACTTGCATTCTAGAAGACACAACTAAACAAAATTAAGATGTATAGATTGTTTGTCAACATTTATATTTGTTCATCACATGTGATAGTGGCAAAGAAAGGTTCTCAATTTCTTATATCCTGCCTAGTATGTCCAGGTGGTTAGGGCGCTTGACTCGCAATCTGAGGGTCGCGGGTTCGAATCCCCGTCACACCAAACATGCTCGCTCTTTCAGCCATGGGAGCGTTATAATGTGATGGTCAATCCCACTATTCGTTGGTAAAAGAGTAGCCCAAGAGTTAGTGGTGGGTGGTGATGACTAGCTGCCTTCCCTCTAGTCTTACACTGCTAAATTA